CAGGCAAGCAAAATTTCATTTCTTCATTTATTTTACAATAACTACTCAATTTCTCAAGTTTGGACTTGTACAAACACAGAAAAAGGCATGTTAACTACAGCATTCACCCACACTACCCAGAGCACTTTCAGAAGGCAAATTATTACGTCCTCTGCAGTGAGATCTTTCTTCATCCAAGAGACACTTTTGCAAGTCTCACGAAAGATCTGTCTTTGAATTATTGAAGAGTTCATTTCCTTCAGATCATCTATCTTGCTTTAATTTTCCTTCAGCAATAGTATCCCTTTTTGGTTCCTAACCAAGTTTTCTTCATATATTGCTGAGTTTCTTATCAGTCAAATGACTTTTTGGACTTCCTGGAACTAATGGTCCTCCACATTTTATTCTCCCTCCTTATCCTCATCTCTACTACTAACCTTATTCTTAGCTCTTTTTCCTGCAAGATCTGTGAGACTCAGAATCAATAACAATTTCCTCCAATCCACCTCTACAGGTATCTTGTATTAGCAGAGAAATGAGCTTCAAGAAACGATTTGCAAAGGTTAAAGCATACATGTGCTGTTCTAAGAACAGACACTGATTCCTAGTACAATTTCTTAATACTTGATTCATCCTTTCTATAACTATGATAATTATCACTAAGCCTTTTGGAGACCCTCGAATTGCTTGTGATCATTTCTTGTGACACTCTTAGAACTGATGTCTTCCCCGTACCACCTTCAGCTGGATGGCTGAAAATCAGAATCAGTACTAGAGTCTAAGGAAATATTTATTTCCACCTCCACTAGATTCTTTTTTTTTTTTTTCAGTGTGTGTTTAATTTTGTCACTTTAAAAAAACAAACAAACAAAAACAAACAAAAAAACACAAAGTCCAGAACATATTAATTAACCTTTTTTTACTCATAAAAAAAAGGTAGTTAATAACAGTAAAACTGAGATGATACATATATTGGAACATGAAGCATATAGAAGACTCGGTAATTCCTTCTAGATCAATATGTTTGAAATGCCATTTGTAAGCTAAAAATGTTCAGCAAGCCATTTTATCTATGTATGCCTCTACTTTCCCTTCTCTTTTCCATTCTCCTCTCCTTTAAGGCAGGAAAACTCCTATTATAATCCATTTGGAACCACAAATGCTTTGCAAAGCTTACTCTCTTGTTCTCTAGGTTTGTACAATAGCTACTTTTATTCAATAAAATAAAACAATTAAATAAATGAAATAATAAAACAATTAAATAAATGAAAAAATAATAAACTGGGGACAGCTCTCTTGTCTGGAAGTAAAAGGCATGCAAACCCTACATCCATGTATCTTAATATTGTTATAGACCAGAACACAGTGGGTGTGTCCCAACTGTCTGCTGGTAACCATCCCTGACAGTGCCATCACCAGCACCATGCCTGAGACCCCTCACAAAAATGTTAATAGCCACAGGCTAAAATCATGCCAGCAAGAATAAATGAATAAATAAATATTTAATATCTAGAACTTCAGCCTATTCTCTGACTCCATTTTATTTAACACAGGTATAGGCGATATAAATAATTTCAGTTGTGGCTAGTAGTTTCTATTATGTTATAAAAACACGTGAATTGGCACTATAACTTTTAGTTATAAAAGCAGAGACATAAAAGATGTGGTAGAATATCTGTAGATTAAAAACGTTAGATAAAATTATTACTGGAGAGATTTATCACAGAGGTTTTCTTCAAACATCAGAAACTAATTGTTAAGAGGAGCAGGATGAAGGTGTACTTACTACCTGAAACAAAACTTCAGCTGTTAAGGCCAACTGTTACACAAAATGAAGAACAGACGAAAATCACATGCAACCAAATCATTTTTACCTCTACTATTAATACTCCATATTCATTTCTGAAATATGTTCTAAAGTTATTCTGCTACATGAGTGTATTATTTCTTCTCTAGTGAATTTTATTTGTAAGTATATTTCCTGGCATATGACTTGTGGATGACCAAAGCAATAAGCACAAATAGATGCAGCCTGGCGTCTGTATCTTGATTAAGTTGCATAATGGTTAGGCTAAAATAGCAATTTTTCCCACACTTGGAAGTCATCATGTTCACCTTTTCATTTGAGGTTAAGTCCAGTTCCTCAAGGTTCACAAGGTAAATATTTGCTGAGCTTTTAAAACATTTTCCATTAATCAAACTCTCTTGAACACTACAATCACTAATGACCTGCCATCTTTCATTTCTGTAACAGGCAGGCAATGCAATTTCTGGAACTGTGTAGTACATCAAGAGTGGAGTGTTTATTGAAGGATATCTTTTTGGCGTCCTTCTATTCCCCTTGGGGTTCTACAGTGTGATTTATTTGATATGTGTGTTTCTTGACCACTCTGTTTTTTGTTTGTCTGAGCATAAAAAAAGATGAGAGCAAGCCCAAAACAAATATTTTACAAAAAACAGTAAGGGGAAGTGGGAAGTTTGATATCTTGTGATTTCCCATAGAACCACTGCATGGCTTTGGAAATTTAATTATTTTTGTGCACTTAAAATTTAAATCAAATAACTCTCCACAGAAGGGAGAAGCAACATGCATTTCTGTAGGTATAGTAACATAAGTATCCATTAGTAGATGAAGCTTTCCTTGTGAACGCATTGCATTTCAGCAACAGGAACTCTTTCTTCTAGTTGGAGCATCTATTTACAACCTTCTCAGTTTAATTTGGTAGCCCAGATCAAACCCAAGATCAGAGCACAAGTGAAAGTGCAAATCCTATCCAAGTCCATTTTCCAGTGTAGCTTCACATGAGACATTAGTTGCATGAGCTTTCTTTTATTTCAGATGTAGGATTTTCCCCCTTAAACGGTCTGGCATATCTGTTCATTTGAAACTTCTGCTATTCTGTTTGTAAAATCTGAATTCATTCTGGTGTCGTATCCATCCTAGGTTAGTGCCTTAAGATTTTCTCCACAGAGACAACAAATGAGCCTAGCTCTGGACCAACAGTCACAGTCACATGTTCATAACCAAAAGAGCCCAACAGATGAAATCAAAATAGTCTTCAACACATTGGGATTCTGGAAAATTGAGCTTTAACTCCCTACAGGAACTCAGTACATCAATGGACAGCAAAGATATTATTGTCTCACATCCCATCTATCTCAAGAAGTTTTCCTGCAAGCTTTTAGTCATATATTGAATAACAATTTTCTTATAGTTAGTCATGACATTTCCCATTGCAACTAGAAACAGATATTTCAAACTAAGAAAATTAAAAGCCAGTTCTCTCTAGACTGTTTTATTGAAGAGCTAAGACTTTCCAATTGTCAGTTCTGAAGTCCTTGCACATAAAAGGATCTCTGAAAGCTAATTTTAGCACTGTTTTAAATAAGCAAATCCTATACAAAATTAAATATGTTTTGGCATCTGCAGGAGCTAAGGGCCACCATAGCTTTTGAAAGCAATGCTTACATACTTAATTTGTTTGATGTGACAATGAAATGACAACTTCTTGTGTTTAGGATAAAGGAAGACAAGGGTCATATGGCACCAGTTCCAGATGAAGATAGTGCACATGGTTTTTGCTACACTTCACTCTAAGAAACTAGCAAGTAGGGTTTCCACCTAAGTCAGTTTTCAAGACACTCTTTGTACAAGCCCTTTTCTTGAACATGATTCCTCTGAGCTACTTTAAATGTCCACATTAAAAGTAATGGACCTAAGAGGGTCTTATTTTTTTATTTTATTTATTTATTTTTTATTTTTCATTAACTACAGTGGTGACTAGTTCACATGCAAATTTCTAAATTGTAGAAATATAAATACGTTTAGGTGAATATCATCCTAAGGACAGTAGTCCCTTTGGATGTCAGAAAAGAATTAAGATGACCCATAGAAGAAACTACAGAAAAAATGTATTTGAAACCATAAGACAGAGAAATATGTAAACAATGCATCTCAAATTACAAAATAAATAAATAAATATGTTGGTACTAAAAAGCAAGAATAGAGGTAGAAATCCCTGTTGTTGCTTTCCCCTTTGCGTAGTATGGAAGGATAGCTGTGTGCAACAGGTAGTCAGTGAATAGAGGCTGCTGTCCTACCTGTGGGACAATCTTAGCAGACTGACTTTCAAGGCAGTTGGGCAGAGCTGCACTCCTTACATGTTGCCCTGAGTGTCTCTCCAAGACAGCTGGTTTCACTGTCACCGTTTTATTCCTGTTCCTGTACTGTTCATTCCTGGGATGATATCAGGTCATCTTTCTAATAATGCACCAGAAAGGCAGCAGGCTACATTATCTGACTCCTGGAATGCTCCATTTTGTGGTCAAGACACCATTTTTCTTATTTTATCTAAGGTCCACCAGTTGATTCAGAATATGTGGTAAATAAAAGGTCCCAGAAGGTGTGCATTTATGTCTTTTACTTTCCTGCCTACTAACCCAGGGACCTTTTCTGTTGGGTGAACATATCTGAGAGAGCTTTCCTTTCCCCCCTTGGTGGTTAGGGAAAGAAAAGCTGCTATCATTGAGCACCACGTAAGGGAAAGGATTACCTACTTTTTGCCTTTAGCACAGTAGGATCAGCTGAAGAAAAGGAAGAAAAGGTGGTGGTTAACAACCTTCATTTTGGAGACATTTCACATCTACCCAGAAGACACATCAGCAATTCTTAACACGATGTTACATGAACAAGGCTTACCTTCAGGCTGTATATGTACATTATGCATTTTAAACTTCTGTAAATGCAATGGATGATCCAAATCAAATGTTTGTTTGTCAGCTTTCCCTCACACAATGCTGTTAATAGGTCTGGCCAATATTGTGTTTGCATGACGTCATGAGAATGATATGTCTTTGTATAATATGTACCACTATGACATGGCTGACGTTACTTTCTATCTTTTAGATATGCACATCTCTAGGAGAGACCATGAATGTGGGCTTTACATATGCTTGACTGGACTGTCTTTTATTTTGCTGTACTCTGAAAAGACTGGCTATAATTGCCTAGTATTACTCACCTGCCCAGCAGCAAAAATTCTCCAGCAAGTCCCAGGCGCCTCATAGCCATTAAGAGCCCTCTCACAGTCATGCCTTCACAGAAGCAGGCAACCACTCTTGCCTTGGGCAGGTGGCTCCGGAGCTTTCGCAGCAACTTGTCAAAGCTCTGTTCACCAGCATTGCTATAGATCTTGTAGGAATGTGCAATGCAGATCCCTTCCTTAGCTGCCATATCTTTGAAAGCTTCCATTCCACTTTCACCATAGTTTCCTAAATGCAAACAGAGAAACATATGTATGTATTAAAATCTGCAGAAGCTTTTTTTTGCTTTGGAAACAGCAAATACTTTAGAAAGTACATAACATATCTGTACAGAGACCAGTGTAGCCATCTTAAAAACAAACAAACAAACACTTTAATTTATTCATCCATTTTTCAAGTCAAGATCAACAAACTTTCCTAGAAACCTCACTTCAGTTTAGCAGCCTGCTTCTATGTTGAAACCAAAGTCTGTTAAGTACCTGAATACCTGTGATAATCTGTTCCAAAATGTCTATAGCAAAATCTGTATAAATTGCATGTTGCCTTCTGATTCTCTTAAGTTGACTGGTCAGTTGCTCTGAGGTTTACTTAAAAACAAACAAACAAACAAACAAACAAAAAACACAAAGACAACAACAACAACAAAAAACACAACAACATTAAAAAAATAATAATAAATCTTTAGGATATATTATTTGGTGTAATATTTTGACTATAAACAAAAACAAAAAAATTGCTAATAACAACATGACTGTTCATAGTGTAATCTGAACAGCAACAACATTTAGTTTACATTGAAAGGTAATAGCTATTCTGTGAAGAAAGTATTACTGATGACTCAAGAGAATGAGAGGCAAAATTGAGGACTAACATGACAGAGATCACAGGATTACAGATGAACTAAATGTACATTTTATTTATATATTTTTTTAAATTAAATGTCAACAAAACCAACAGGAAATTTTTCATATTTTCTTTCAAGACATTCTCCTGTATGATAAGCTGGTAATAATGGTAATAAATACCAGGAGATAGATATATCTGTTGTTTTTTATTCTATCTCACCACAGAAAATATTTTCATTTGAAATTGTAGAATAGTCATAGTGCTTAAACAGGGGGTGTAGTGTTCCCACTGACAATCATACTAACCAGGACTGTCTTTCCGGTTCCTTGTTCTCCTACATCTACCTTTCGAAATCTGTTTCTTGTCTAAGTTAAATCAGAAGGATTTTGAGGAAGGAACTCTCTCTTCTCCAAAATATTGCCTTAACTTCCAAGTAATATTCCACAGAAATACAGTCAACAAATGAATAAGACCAAGAATGTTAAAGTAACAGATTTGCAAGGAACTGTTGATCCTTCACTCACTTCTGTTGGTTTGCAAATATTAAAATCTGTAACGACAAAAAGATTTTTTTGCCAGCTGTGTTATGAGTATATAAGAGTATTGATAGCGAAAAAATATGTGAAGTACTTAGAATCAGATTACAGGATTTGGGCTGTCTCTGCCCTCATTTGTTCTTGTGACTTTGGACATTGGAGCCACAAAGCACCCAGCCTGCCGACCTAAGAAATCACCCCTATTTCTCTACTGCCAGAGTTTACAGGCTGCATTAGCTTCCAGACTGTACATGAACATGAAAGACACAGTCTCCAGTTTAAAGATCTTAGCATCTGAATAGCCAAAACAGAGTATCAGAAAGGAAGTATCACTACCTTCATTTAATATCAGAAATGAATCAATGCGAGTTTGAAATTTTGAAATGGTACCCCCAACCAGAATGGCAACTTGAATGCATGTCTCCTTATCTAATGTGCACCAACTTTTATTTTTCTCCCTGCTGTGTCTGATGAAGAATCCATTACTATGCAGATTGTGCCTGAGCAAAATGTCATAGAAGTTTTAAACTTGGTGCTTCCTGGGAGTTGATGTTCTTCCCCATGTGTCATACTTATAGGGCAAACATTTCCTGTGATAGATCATCAAGTGATTGCCATGAGATGCTGAAAGAGTTTGGCTACAGGTCAAAAACATGGTGCCTAATGAAAGACTTATTATAGCCCCAGAACTCAGTCTGATGGAAAAATGGGGGTCAGTCAAATAAAACTTCCACCAGGCCCTGAGGCCATCTAAAGTAAAATCAGGCAGTTTGGCAAGAAATACATTTCTTTGTTTAAAGTAAGTCTCTTTTTTGTCAGTCTGGATCAAAGAAAAAAAAAAAAAGAGAGAGAGAAAAAAAAAAAAGGAAAAAAGTCATATCAAGTTTTACCATAGAACTTGGAAGTGAAAAAAAAAAAATATCTACGGTATACCTCAAAGAAATTGAAATTCTGAAGATTTCATTTTCTGTGAAGAAACTGTCAATAGAAAATTCCTGGTTAAGTCTAATTGACTTACAGAACTAGATCTCTTCAGTGTTCCAGACATTTAATTCTTTGTTTGAGAGTGTTATAAAGGCACAAAAGTATTGCCCCGAGGCTTGCTATAAAGCTGAGGCTTACTATAAAGCTGAGAACAGGCTTAATTACAGTCCTGAAAAAGTAGTAGGTCTTTCAACGAACACAAAGTGCTTTAACTCTTTTCCAATCAAGTAAAGGTTTCTCCAGTTATTGTCTCATCATGTATCGAGACAGGGTGGTTTTTTGAAAATGTGCAAAAAGCAATGACTCACCAAAAATGAGAAGAAAAGTACTAAACTACCAAGTGCACTTAACAAAGAGTTACATCCTTAACATTTGGAAAAAAAAAAATCTGAACGTGACAAAGTTCTCTAACTGGGAAAATTATGTCTGCATAACATGAGCTCAGGGGAGAGTTGATGAAAACAGAAAGCAGCTATGCTTCAAGATGCTCGTACAAATACACCAGTGGAGACCTTGTCATGATAATTACTGATTAAACTCTACTTAATTAATTATTCATAGTGAATTCCCCTGTTGTGCAAGAGGTATGATGAGGTATGTATATTTAACTTGAGCTATACTGTGGGGATAATGAACAATCCTTGATGGAAAATTTCCTCCTTTTCTGCTAAATTTATTTGCAAAACACATTAGGATGAATTTCCATTGAGCAATCTTTTTGTAGAAAACCTGTATGTGCATGAAGGCATACATGTAGCACAGGGAGTGGGAATCTGAGGAAGTCTCATTATCTCATTTCTTTGAAGATGAGATCTGAGGTTCACAGCATAAGTACATTTTCACTCTTTCTGTATGGAATTATTTTATTCATGAACTGTGGAATTCCCATAGTAGGAAATTGTCACATTGCCAAAATTGGCTTCCACATTGGAACTTCCACTGTCAGGGAAGTGCTAGGACCCGAAAGATGGTGAACTATGCCTGGGCAGGGCGAAGCCAGAGGAAACTCTGGTGGAGGTCCGTAGCGGTCCTGACGTGCAAATCGGTCGTCCGACCCGGGTCTAGGGGCGAAAGACTAATCGAACCATCTAGTAGCTGGTTCCCTCCGAAGTTTCCCTCAGGATAGCTGGCGCTCGGGGCGAGGCAGTTTTACCCGGTCAAGCGAATGATTAGAGGTCTTGGGGCCGAAACGATCTCAACCTATTCTCAAACTTTGAATGGGTAAGACGCCCGGCTCGCTGGCGTGGAGCCGGGCCGTGGAATGCGAGCGCTCAGTGGGCCACTTTTGGTAAGCAGAACTGGCGCTGCGGGATGAACCGAACGCCGGGTTAAGGCGCCCGATGCCGACGCTCATCAGAGCCCAGAAAAGGTGTTGGTTTATCCAGACAGCAGGACGGTGGCCATGGAAGTCGGAAGCCGCTAAGGAGTGTGTAACAACTCACCTGCCGAATCAACTAGCCCTGAAAATGGATGGCGCTGGAGCGTCGGGCCCATACCCGGCCGTCGCCGGCGGTGCGGAGCCTCGGGGGCTACGCCGCGACGAGTAGGAGGGCCGCTGCGGTGCGCCTGGAAGCCTGGGGCGTGGGCCCGGGTGGAGCCGCCGCAGGTGCAGATCTTGGTGGTAGTAGCAACTATTCAAACGAGAGCTTTGAAGGCCGAAGTGGAGCAGGGTTCCATGTGAACAGCAGTTGAACATGGGTCAGTCGGTCCTAAGCGATAGGCGAGCGCCGTTCAGAAGGGACGGGCGATGGCCTCCGTTGCCCCGGGCCGATCGAAAGGGAGTCGGGTTCAGATCCCCGAATCCGGACCGGCGGAGACGGGCGCCGCAAGGCGCCCAGTGTGGTAACGCAAGCGATCCCGGAGAAGCCGGCGGGAGCCCTGGGGAGAGTTCTCTTTTCTTTGTGAAGGGCCGGGCGCCCTGGAACGGGTTCGCCCCGAGAGAGGGGCCCGCGCCTTGGAAGTTCCCAGTCTTCAGACATTTCTGTGACTCAAAGAGAAAGATACTGCGACTTTGGGTTTGCACATAGGGGTAGTCAAAGCAAGGATTTGTACTCTGAGAAGAAGAATATTTTAGTTCCACTTCCGAGTGAAAATTAATTCAGAAACCCTGCGCTGGAACCAGTGTAATATCTACTGTGAGTCCTCTGTGACAAAAGCTGCTTACATTCTGGCAATCTAACCATGTAGCTATTCTGTTTCTACTTCTAAATTTAATGAAAGTTCCTAAGGAAAAGAAGGGAGGGATTGTTTTATTTTTCTTTGTCTAGTTCCAGTTCAGCAGAAGAAAATCGACAAACACAAGCTGGAAGTGAAATATGGTCAATTTATCCTCAGTTCCTTCTGCCCCACCAAGCTCCATCTCCATTTCAGTGTTTGGGAAGTCTCTATTGTGACTTGTTCTGCTGGAAGACGTGGTGCGTTTTTTTACTGGATGTTCACCTCCTCTTGAAAGTTTGTCTGTTGGTGGCATAACCAGAGTTGATGACTGTTGAAATATGCTTTGTACTTGTGGCAACAATGGCTGTCTGGGTTCTTTCAAAATATAAGCCTGAATCCTGCATGTTGCCTACCTGAATGCTTGACCCTAATCCCAGTGCAGAAGCTGCACCCATTTGTCTCTGCATGTTTAAAACAAACAAGCAAACAGAAATCCATATTGATTATGTCATCATCTGTAATGCTTCAGGGTTGGAACTTTGTTCCAAACTCAAGCATATGCATACCCACCTACAGTTTAACTACAGCAATCTGTTAGTTCCACTTCCAATCAATCTGTTCTAAAAACTATTAAGAAGCTTAAAAAGAACAGATTGTGCTTTTTTTCCAGATGAGGCTTAATATAGTACACCACATAATAATACT